GATTTATTCACATGATATTTTAAAGTTGATGAAATTAATATTCAGTGTTTTCCTCCACCACTGTTATTTAATCTCTGCCCACCCACTCCTGAAATAAAGAGACAGACACAGGTGTTGTAGTTAACTAGGGCCACACTTTATTGCTTTTCACTTCCAATCACTCTCATCCTGCAGAGGGGCCTGGATGTCATGTGGATCCCTGAGGCAGGCTGTATCTCTTACCCCCTCTCCAATCCTAAGTGGGTGAGTCCCAAGCCCCTGGTCAGAGCTGTCCCCTGAACAGTTCATACCCAGCTGGCCACAGACTGGGAAGAAAAACCTCCCTATCTGCCATCCATCCAATTGTCTAGAACTAAGACATGCAATGGATGGGACTATACCTTATTCACCCCTCATCCCAACAGGTGAAATGCTAGATCCTGGTTGCTGTGATCCTGGGTGCAGTAGGACCTCATGTGCTTTTTGGGAGCTCACTGAAATATGTTCTGTCGGTTGCTAGAGGGAGGGAAGTGTGGGGAGGGCAGGTCAATGTGATACTGGATGAATTCAGATGTAGGGACTGTGAAGACTGGGTTAAGAAGTGAGATGGAGACGAAATGTGTAAAGTGTATATGGGAGAGAGCAGGTCTAGCTAGGACCTTGTGTTCCTCCCAAACATTTACTTACCTCTTCTGCCGACAACCTATTTTGTTGTTTAGTCGTTAAGTCATGTCTGACTCTTCGTGACCCCATGGACCAGAGCACATGGTGGTAAAAATGGAAAAAATAAACCAAAATTAGGTTTGATCTACCTGGTCGGTGTCTTGGCCTGTATGAGAAGGGAAGGTAGTAAAAAATAAATAAATCTAAATTGACATTCGATCCCTTACCTGGTCAGTGCCGAGCCACAAGATACGTTGTTTTACCTAGGAGATAGTTATGTGATATGTATTAACATTTATAAACCACTATCTCTTTAAATTTTGAGTAAGTAATTAACACTATGAATATGGAAATAAACACAAGAGAAATCAACCCAGAAAGAGAACTATTAAGCTGAACAAGTCAATAGATCCTGGCATATTAACACATTAAATGGGTAAATATGTCAGACACAATAATCTTTGGAACCCTTCAGACTCGGAAACAATATGTAAAAAGGTCTGTTGTTCATTTCTGAACAACATAAACAAAAACTTTTTTCTAATTATGGTTACTAAGGAAGGAGATTAACTGAATACAATCTAATGAATGCGAGGGATGAAATATACAGATTAATCATGCAGAGTGGGCAAATGTTTCA